CGGACAACAGGCGGTGCGTTACGTATTGTCGAAGTCGAGCGCTCAGACTTACTGGCGCAAGTAGATCACACAGCGCCTTTTAACGTAAATAGTACATTTTACAATAGGTGAAATAGTACTATAATAATTCAATAATATATTACAAAATAAAAATTATTATTTTGTTATTGTTTTTTTTATAATTTTTGTATTTCTCGACATAAAATTAAACGCTACGGCGCCGCTTGGTATTTCTCGACATAAAATCTAAAGAGCGCGATCGCGCTGTTTGGGACTCTTCGACGCTGTTTGGGACTCTTCGTGTGGGACTCAAACTTAATTCTTGTTCGCTATTATCGGTTGCCAAGCTTATGCATGTTTGCGATGGCTTAGGAGTTCAATCGCAATTTGGTCATGTACCGGTAGTGGGTGTGGCTCTATACTAGCTGTGTACATACTTTTCGTCGTTTTTTCTTTTTTTTCCTTCTTATTTGTTTTATTGTACTTATACTAAGTTTTAATATTAATTAATTTAAGATTTACTTGAAGAGTCAATTGAACTCCACTGTCAAAATTTTGATTTCCTTGTATCAGTGGAATAAATAAAGAAAAAAAAATAAATAAAGGAATATTCAAGCCGGGATTTATTTAATTAAAGTTTTCTTTGCTTTCTCGTCTTTTTTTTTGTGTTTTGGATGAAAGCCTTCTTATATTCTAGCGAAAGATATAAGATGTGTTACAACTTGCATGAATTTGTCTTTGGGTATTTGTCAACGATGTTTTCTTCCTTTTTGTTTGTTGGTTATATGGAGCCATGCAGTTTAGAGTAAGACTCGGATTATTAAGCCTCTGACAATATTGCGGCCTATTTAACCAATGACTAGACAGGTCAGAAAACGGTGATTGCATTCTTTCATTTTGGTCGTCGCCTTTCACTTTAAATTATAAACCAATTGCTTTCAATTTCTCTTTCATAAAAAATATATAATCAAAATGTTCATTATAAGGTATGTTTGGAATATCTGTCGACATATTCAAAATTCGAAACGCTTGAATGCTAAAAATCTGCCAATTATTTCTCTTACTAAAGTAAATCAATATAATCAATACTCATCCTATTCGACAGAAACTTTTATTGAAATCAGGCGTGGGATGATACAAAAGAAAGGAAAAAATTTGATAAAAGGCAAGACTATAACAAAACAATGCAATTTACAATAATTCCAATGTGAAAAAATATAGGCTGTATGGAGCTCATTAGAATTGCCCATGCATATGGATGGCTTAGTTTAAGTGCGATAATAAAAATTCTTTTTGACAAAGTTCTACGATGGTTGCTCGTAAATTACAGCTTAATTGTGTGGAATACGTCGCTTATATAATTTCCCCTAAATAATTTCATATGCTTTTCAATTTAATCTCTATCAAGTATTTAGCGAATTTTTCCATCAAGTAATTGCTCCATAAAATATAACCTACTTTCAGGGATGTTTTTAAAAATATTTTCATACATAATTTTGTGCACTTAATAAAAACTTTGATATTGATAAAGAAAAGGAATTGAACGCTATGGAAACAATTCTTTTTGATCCAAATCGAAAGTAAGCCTTTCATGCATGTTATATCATTAAACCATTAACCCTTTCAAAAGCTTGAATAGCTAGCTAGCTACCGACTACAATTTCGGTCATAAACATTTTACATAAGTTTGGCATACCCTTATGCATATGGAACATATAAAATGCATTATAAGTTGTACCAGCATGTGTAAGTAACATTTTCCCATAAGCAAATTTGGGAAAGAAATAAAAAAATAAAAAGAAAAAAAATGAACTGTTTTAGTATTAGTTTTCGACAATACGGATACAAAAAAAAGGGAAACTTTTTAATGTAAAATTTGTCCTCTTTGCTTTGGTTTTAGAAAAAAGAGCTCGGAAAAAAATACAACAAAACACCAAAAAGACTTCTATCACCTTCGGAAAATAGCAACTGCTTAGAAGATTTGATTAAAGTTTTGTGTCTATTGTGTACCTTGGGCTTTTAAAAAAAGGGCAAAGAAAATAAAATCAAGATACGTGCAACACGAATTTCAATTTTAAGGCAATTTTACTGACCATACGAATAAACAAAAATGGTCGAAACAAAATGAAAAAAAGAAGATATGAAATAAAATAAAATAAAATAATGGAAGCTGGGGCTGTAAAGGAACATTCATTGAGCAGCTTAAAAGGCTGCCTACAAAGTAACTACAGGAAATCAATCTTTTTCTTAATTGGAGTGCAGTCAATTGGCTCAGCAAAAAGAAGTTTATAAAGCTCTTCATAACTTCGATTACATTGTAAATCAAATAAAAGTGTATGAGTCAAAGTTCACAGGAATGCTCGCCGAAATATACATTCAAGTCGACATCAGGCTACCAAGAAATTGTCTTGTTTTTGGAGCCTTTGATATACCTATCAGGGAATCAATCATAGCAAGTGGACAGATTTACCCTCAGAGGTTTTGCCAACAAGACAGCGTTACTTGCATTCATTGAATTATTTATAAAAAGGAGTCAAGTAGGGCAGGCGTTTCTTTTCCTTTTCATGTGATACGTAATCAGAGAGGCAAAGACGTTGATGGAAGCATCGACGATAAAGCTAAATGTTGTTAGCATTGAAGCTGATTATTAGAGCGGAAAGCGGATTAAGAATTGCTGCAATCTGAAACGACCAGCGATCGATGGAGAACGTTATCAAAAACAACTGAAACATTTGCGACAATCATTACAAAGAAAAGGACTACACTATTTTTTTTTCTTAAATATGCTCTTAGTCCAGTTCTTCAATCTTCCTAATCTGAGCTGTGACCGAAATGAGCATAACTGCAGATCAAGCAGTTGTAAGTACATCGAAAGGAGCGTTGAATGAAGCATAATACGGTTTACAACACTATCGCATTTTGCTTTGCAATGCAAACGTCAAGATTGTAAAGTAGATAAAATATAAGAAAAAAATCCGGCACAGTATTTTGTAAAGAATTTCTATCTGTACTTTTTGAAATTGAATTTTTAGGCAAATGAAGGCAAACATATGGCCTGCAATTGCCAAAAATTACTACTGAAAAATTTCAACATAACCATCACAATGTATACAATATTTATTATATACATTGAAACGTTGTTCAGGATATGTAATAACATATAAAAGCTTATACATTTTTCGTAATCATCGTCGTTTATATTCAAATTTAGAATGAATGAACTGTAAACTAATTTAGTGATTAAAAAGAGACAGAGACTAACCAACTGGTTTATCATAAAGTCAAAAGCAATACAAAAGATTTCATAACATACTTTTTTGCGCAGCAAAAAATAAAATAAAAAAAATAAATGAGTTTTTCCCAAAGAATGTGTGTATAAAATACATGAGCTCAAGTTTTTTCGACTTATTGCACTCACACCACAAAAGAGTTATTTTAAGCGTCCGAGCGGATTTGAGTGAAAAGCCGAAGGAACACTTAATACGAGACTGGATTGCGATAGCAGGCGGCGACGGTTCATTTATGCTTCAGTCATATGTTGCATTTTTAATAAAACTTTTCACAGAGGGATTTATTCAATTGTGCGAAAGGAGAGAAGCTTTCTGAAAATACTATTCAAGAAAATCACTTTCAAGTTTTTTGTAATTTTCTCCTTTTCCCAAAAAGCGATGTTATCAAACATTAATTTTTAGCTCAAAGACTAAACGAACAAAGTTATTGTACCCAACTCAACCCTTAAGGATATACAGCTGAGTGTATTTTCGCTTTGAGTTTCAATTCAAACGACATTTAAGTTATTTGGCGTAAAGATTTTTTGATTATAAAAACGTCAAATGACTTGAGTTTCTTCTTTTTTTTTTTTTTTTTTTTGGATTTTCTGTTCGTGAAGTGACCATGTGTAAGTAGTAAATATATGTGGTCGACTTTGAAGCAGAAGTTACATTGATAAGACTACAACAGTTTTTGGCAAGCATTTGCCGCACCTGTGTCCATGTAAGTGGACGCGATTTGACCTCGATCGGTAAATAACGGTCTTTATATGCTGCAAAGTATGATCAGATGCTAAGTCCCGTTTTCGATAATATAATCAAAATGATTTCGTCTCACGAGTGGTCACCTTAGGTAAGCTTGTAAGTAATAAAATCTCTTATTTAACAATATTAGTAAGTGTGTTCACCCATACGCTTACTATAAGTTAACAATGCAAAGTGAGCCCATAGCTAAGAAGCAACAAATCTATTGAAAAGATTATAAGAGCATAAGAGGCGAAAGGCCGAAAAGAATGTAACAGTCTTGTATAACCAAGAGAGGAAAACAGTATTAGAGCGTTTATGTAAATGTGATAGAGAGGACATAAGATAAACAAAACAAAAAAAACCTCCTACCTAATTCCAAATTTTTGGCCCACAATAGACCATTGTAGCTTATGAGACTAAGTAATTGATATAATGTTTCGAATGTATGACAGAAGTACAACAAAAACATAAATAATAGATTTTTATATTAGAAGTGAGGAAGTAAATGTAAATGGTGTACGCACAAACATAACACAAGAAAGAAGGACAAGAGCAAGCGAGCGTGGGCGACTTGGCTCTTCAGGTTACCTCTTGGAAAACATTTTCTACTATTTCCTTTAATAAAATGTTAGATGAGTTTCAGTTTAAAAGTCAACGCAGAATACTGAGCGCGCACTCTAAGCGCTATCCTAAAAAAATGTGAAGTGTGTTGCTCAAAGGTTTTCTTTTTATGTATGTTCTGACGTTGTTTATATTTTTAATATGCATAGAATTTACGTGTCAATGGAATATTAAAAGAGTGCTCTTTTCAGTGCTGTACACATTTTCACAAAGACAAAAATGCTTCTCTTTTATGTTCACCGTAAAGTTGGTGTGCAAATCGCTTCGGTCCTCGTAATGATCGTCCCATTGAAATTCAATTTTTAGCCATATTCGAGTAGTTGAATAAAATTGACAAAATTTATAGGTTTTTATATCACTTACCTGTATACCATGAGCACCGCCTTGCTGGCTAATGTGCAATTGCTGTGTTTGCTTCATTTGCAATGTTGTGGTGGTTGTTTGCTGTTGCGATTGTTGTTGTTGCTGTTGCGACTGAGCCATATTGGGGCTAGCTTGTGTCTGCGGATTGGGACCGTTGCCGGCAGCCGGTCCTCCACTTATATTTGCTCCAGCATTCGGCACATTTTGATTATTCGCATTTGGGTTGTTAACGCCAGGGCAACCCGCTAAATTGGCCGGAGTTGGACCTGCATTATTAATGCCTCTGTGATTATTGCTTTGTGCCTGGGGTTGTTGAGCTTGCTGTTGCTGTTGCACTGGTGACATAGTTGGCGGCCCTCCGCTGTTTGGGCCTTGATTCGGACCGCGTGTTGGCACATGCATAAAATTACCTTGTCCAGGGTTGGATTGACCAATACCTCCTGGACCCATCGGCGAGTTATACGGCGAGTATTGTGGCTGTTGCGTAGGATTTTGTGGTTGTTGCGTTTGCTGGGGCTGACCGGGACCGTTGGATTTAGGGAAGCCGCCAACAACATTCGGAATATTAGGGCCCATTTTAGCCATATTGGCATGGGCCATATGCTGTTGCTGCTGCTGTTGTTGTTGTTGTTGTTGTTGTTGTTGTTGCTGCTGCTGCTGCTGCTGCTGCTGTTGCAATTGTTGCTGATGCTGAAGACGTTTGAGATCGAAATCGTTTTGTTGTGATGAATAAAAGAGCTCCTGTTTAATATCTAGGAACGATTGCTGCCCAACCCCGCCACCTGGTCCCATGGGTCCGTTTTGTGGCATCTTTTGCTGAAACTGGGATGGAATATTTTGATGCTGCTGAGGATGTTGTTGTGGCGGTCCAGTCATAAAATCATTTGGTCCCCCAAAGCCGCCGCCACCGTAATCGCCGTAACGTCCATTGGGTGGACCGGCTCCCATCATTTGTTGTTGCTGCGTCTGATGCATGGAAGGACGCGGAAAACTCATACCACCCATGGCATTTTTATGTTGATGTTGTTCGGCCATTTGTTTAAGAGTTTGAGCCGCCAAAGACAACTCAGACATGGGTCCTGTATTGGGCCCATTTTGGAATTGCGAACGCATTTTATTCATTGCTTGCGGATCATTGTTAACATTACCCATATGGCCACCACCACCACCGTTACCTCCACCACCCATTACGGCGCCCATATTATTACCCATAACATTATTGGTGGGCCCGCCAAAGGCAGCATTAAACTGCGCCATAGCATTTTCAGATTTGACATTTAAACTATTGATCAAATCTTGAACATTAGGCGGTTCTACTTTAATACCATCCTCGGTTTTTATATCTAATAAAGGCTTCTCATCTAAGCCATCTAAAAAGACGGGATTGAAATCTTGCAGACCGTCAATAAGATCCTTGAACGTTTCATTGCCTTCAGCAGCATCATCGCCCATAAATTCGGGAAAACCAGGAAAATTACTATTAGGCCCGCCATCTTTTTCCAAACCCGCTAAATCGGGGAAATCGTGATCGGGTTCACGTTTGCATTCGACCAAGTTAGCCAAACCACCCATAGCCGCTTTTTGTTGATGCTGTTGTTGCTGTTGCTGTTGCTGTTGCTGTTGATTTGTATTCATATTATGGCCACCCATTAAATTGGCACCCGCATTTGGACCATTACCACCCATATGCAAACCACCACCAACACCACCACGTCCATTATTAGTGTTGATATTCACTTGGGAATCAGCTACACCAACACCCTGACCTGGATTAACGCCACCGTTACCGCCGCTCCCAACAACACCTGGTTCGCTTTTGACGGAGGTATTTGTTAAAGCCTTCACTGTAACATTAGTGCTAATCTGTTGCGGTTGGGAATTGGCAGCCGATGTAGTAAATTCCAATTGTTGAACAATTTCGACAGAAAATTTGGTTAAATTTTCGGAACCATTATTATTGTTGTTGCTGTTGCTATTATTGTTGTTATTGTTATTGTTATTATTATTATTAGTATTGGGCAATTTATGAGGCGGTTCAAAGTTCTCAGCACCATTATCGCCATCATCGGTAGGTCGTTTTAGGAATTTTTGTTGCTAAAACGAATCAATGAGAAAAAAAATGATATTAAAAAAGATATAAAAATTATGATAATAACAAAATTAATTGATTTGAAATTAATTTTAATCCTTAATAATGAAATATCACTTAATTACCCAAATATTCATTAATATGCGATTATTGAAACTCTGCAAAAAGATATGCTATAGCAAATGCGGGGAAGAGTTGTAACGATGTCGACAAAAAGAAGAACGAGTCCTTGTTACACGAAACTAAGATGAGTTTTTGTTCGTTAAGAGATTTTCCTTTCCCTAATATGTTGAGAGACGAGTAGATGACAAAACTTTCGAGTTCAAGAATATGTTGTTGTTGTTGTTGCAACACTGCATTTTAAATTGTTTTCTTTGGAATATTCGATTTGTTGCTTTAACACCGTCTTCATGCTGATACAAAATAATTTTAGTCTGTTTTTTTTTTGTTCTCAAAAATTGTAGTAAATTTTATTTACAGTTTTTTTTTTTTTTTCTTTTTTTGTTTTGTTTTTTTCTATATATTCTATTCTGGTAAACATCAAGTTATGTGTCTAACTTTAGCATTTAATTGAATGCTTAAAAATGAATAATTAATTGTATTTAGTAGTTTCCCTCTCCTTTAATCGCATGCAAAGCGCATAATGTTTTTATGATTTGGAAAATTTACCGTAAAAAATAATAACAATAATAAAATGTGTGTTCAATAAAAAAAAAAAAAATATTTGCTAGCTTATTATTACTGTTGTTGTTGTTGTTGTTGTTGTTTAGGTTGTTACTGTCGCTATCTTTACTGGCAAAGGGGCGCTGGTAAGTGCTTAGGGCTTATTTGCTTTTCTTTTTTTTTTTTATTTTCTTTAATTTTATTACCGAACTTTCCATCTTAAAACATTTAAAAAGGAAAATAAACAAAAAAATGGTTAGGAGCGAGAGACGGACGCCCTTATTGATGATTGTGTAAATATAGATTCTATAAGCGCTTGTATATTGTGCATTGTACATTTTTATATATATTGCTGTTCGTATTTAACATTATCATACTTCATTTGTTTACTTTTATTTCTCGGTGTTTTTTTTTTTTTTATTACATTTAATACAAATTAATGCCCCTGT